AAGCCTTGAACTTTACAAATAATTAATAAAGCATTTTCAACCAACTTTTCAAAAGGTTTAAAAAGAGCTCTTACTTTTGCTTAGGTTGTCAATGGCTCAAACATACAGACCTGTGCTCATTTCTTTAAAATCTGAATGTTCAGCAGGGTTTGCTCACAAGAAAGTGACTAAGGAACAGATCCTTAGAATGTAATACAAAGAATTATCTTACTTGGGGGATTACCATTTCAGTGTGTTCACTGGTTTGATCTACCTGCTAAGCAAGTTTAGGGTTGACACTGAGACTCTCTTCCCAGCAAATATGATCAGGTGTCAAACTAACATCATTTGCCAAGGCATATAAACATTGATTCCTAAGGGCTTAACTGCACAAGATTAAGCTACATGACAGGAATCCTATGCAGTATTATTTGAAATTCCACCATCATCAAACAACTGAACAAACATACCTAAGACCATACTGTAAGGGTGCTGTTTTACCTATCTGTGGGTTAGGCCCCAACGAACTCAAAGAGCTTACTTCTGAACAAACAGGATTAGAATCAGACTGCATACAAAGACCCAGGTAAAAATCTACTGAGAATTTCCAGGATTGGAGAAGGTGGTGATGGCTTTGTAACCTCTTACAATTGAATGTAATAAAGGACCACACATGATATCCTTTCACTTATATTGTAAATGTCCTTCACATCTCATGCTTCTGAATAGATTCAACATCAACTTCTTGAGGAAGAATATCCCTATAATTGAGAGTGGTTGTCCTAAATGTCCTAGCCTAGGATGTCAATACTTAACTCAATGCCTCTCCCTATAAATACTTTCTCAATGAGGCCCATAAATTGGAGCAATATACTATCTATAAATATAGGTCTCTGTGCGATGGCTCCTCACTATGAAGGACTTAAGTTCTGGTGTTTGCCTTATTTTAGCACCAGTGTAAAATGTAGATTTTTACCAAAATTTTGGTACCCCATCAATGCAGCTTACTTAGCTGTGGATTTTTGTTTGCACCCTTTTAACCTGTTCTCGGTATTGTTTTTCATGGTTCTAACTAAACGAACATTGCTTTATTGTCTATATTCCATTTTGTGATCACTGAATACAGGGCAGGAGATAGATAGATAAACAGATAGAAATATATATGTATGTAAAGGTAAAGGTTTCCCCTTGACATTAAGTTTAATCAAGTCCTACTCTGGGGAGTGGTGCTCTTCTTCACTTTTAAGCCGAAGAGCCAGTCTTGTCTGTAGACTCCTCCTAGGTCATGTGGCCAGCATGACTGCATGGAGTGCCATTACCTTCTCACCAGAGCGGTACCTATTGATTTACTCACATTTGCATGTTTTCAAACTGCTAGGTTGGAAGAAGATGGGGCTAACAGCTGGAGCTCACCCTGTTCCCCAGATTCGAACCGCCAATCTTTTGGTCAGCAAGTTCAGTGGCTCAGCAGTTTAACCCGCTGCGCTACCAAGGGCTCATATACACACACAAACACACACACACATATTATACACATACATACAAAACAAGCACTATCTCAATATTGAACCCATTTATAATACACCAAGTGTACAACCAACATTGTAATACAGTGACAATAGAGTTGTTCACAGTTGCTTATGTTTAGAGCAATTCAGAAAAAGAGTACTAATAGTTAGATGAGTACTATGTTAGATAAAGGCTATGTTCAAAGCTTTACATGTCGCCCCTCAGTAAAGAATATGTTATATTCCTTTCTCCTCTGTGATTACAACAATAATAGTTTAGCCTTTCAGTCACTTCTCTTCCATAGAAAAGGCAGCAATCTGAGAAAGGAGCAACAAGCAGAGCTCAGTACCAAGTTAATCAGGTAGGCACATCTTTTATACAAAAGGCTATGATTCAACAACTCTAAGGTGGCAATTCAGTTAGGAATTCTATTACTTCTCCTCCCCAATTTTTTAAAAAGAAGCAATCATCTTGTTCTTTGGTTGCTGAAGATAGGTCTCAGTTAAGAAATTATGCTGTCTTTCAGAGAGAGTGCTGGTTTAAAAGAAAGTATGCATTATGGCTGCAAATACTCGACCAGTTATATCCCACATGCCATTCCAGGAAATACCAGAGTGGCTTTTAAAATCCATGTCCACAGCCCTGTATCTATATCTGTGCGTTCATTCCTCTCAAAGGCCAATGAGAGGACTAATCAATATCTGGCAACCCAGCTGGGACTGGGCGCATGAGGAAGTCAAGAAAATAAACCCCTGACTGATCTCTGTAATGTAACCTTTGGGTCAGAGAGCAGCATCTGGGATCATATCTACATGGCTGCATGCAGTAGATCTGGTGTTACAATGCAAATGGTTAAAAGACAGAAAGATCAGCACAAAAGTGGGTGGCTGTGAGTTTTCCGGGCTGTTTGGCCATGTTCCAGAAGCATGTTTCTGGAACATGTCCATACAGCTTGGAAAACTCACAGCCACCAAGTGATTTCAGCCATGAAAGCCTTCGACAACACAGCACAAAAGTCTTTGCATTCCAGCTGGATTTGGTGTGACATCCGCAACTAAGTAGCACAGCCATATCTCAATGCAGAACAAACAACATTCCTGCAATACCCTTTACCTGAAAAGCCAGGGAAAGCCCCTTTGAATATTTTATTATAGCTTCCAAACCTTTAGAAGTCTTCCATATACTTGCAATCTTAAACACATCTACTTAGATATAAATCAGTGGGGCTATGGGAATAAAGGGTACAAGGTTGCAACCTTTATCACTTTGTGGTCTGAAATATCCCTATAGTTAATCCCCCAAACAGAATTGGGGAAAATATCCCAGCTATCCAAAGACAGAGAGGCATATCCTTGATCTTTGCACCATTTCAAAGTTGGGGGGGGGGGGCGGTCTGAGAAATGTGCATTGCAAGCTAAAAAGGAAAGATGGGTGGCACGATATACAGAAATGAATAATCCAAAGTACGATCATCAGAAGGATCTGGGTGTAAAGTGTCTGGAGGCAGAAATAAAATCCAAGTTTTAAAATATTCAATAAGGGATGAAGGCAGGGGAGGGAGCCAGAAGCGCATCAATGGTGGGGAGGAGGCGGGTGAAGGGGGGAGAAAAACCCCACATTCATCCGTCAACATCTAACCTCCTTTGTTGTTCACCTTTTGCAGAGAGGAGGGAGGCAGATTTCTCCTCCTCCGCCCCAAAGAGGAGGGCAAGTTTCCCCCAACTGATCCCACCTCGGCCCTGCCTGCTTCCTTGTGTAATAAGCTGGGTATCTTTGTACTCAATTCAACCAGAGAACAAAAACAACACCGCTGGAACTAGGTTACTATCCAAATTAAAACAAAAACACTATGCACACACAGACAGAGAGAGAGAGAGAGATGCACACTGAACTGCACATTGGTGCCTCTCTCGGTTTACGCGAAAGATGGCAGTTTAGCCCCAATTTCAAAACCTTGTGCCAAAACATACAGTTTGTAACAATTGTGGGAGATTGCTTAGTCTGCTCTTTTTTATGTGAGTGGGTTGATGGGGTTCCTTTGCTTTAGAAGATTCTGCTTAATGGGAGACAGTCTCTAAAAGGATCTATTACAAAATCCACTATCCGATCTTCACCATTCATGACATCCAATTTGGGAAAGGGGGAAAAACCCCTCACCATTTTCCTTTATGCCACATTTTAAAACACTATCCAAATGACACTTGGCGCAAAGGGAAGGGAAGGAGGTTGAAGGAGGAAGATGGGAAACAGATAGTGGCAATAAATGTAAATTTTTTACACCAAAAATTGGAATGCTTAACCTGCCTCTACTTGAAGACAATGAATGCATTTTTTAAATGGAGCCCCTTAACCTGCCTCCATCTGAAGACAATTTTAAAAATGGATACTTTAACTTCCCTTTATCTGAATACGATGAGTGCAATTAATATATTTATTTTGGGGAAAACCTTAATCTGCCTCCACTTGATGAAAATCATTACAAAATAATTTGATACCTGAAACACTCTCTACTTGAAGACAAATCAATGCAATGTGTTCATTTTGGGAGAACTTTAACCTCTTCTCCCCTTAAAAACAATTATATATAATATTTTATATTATATATATCAATATATTAATATATTATAACATATATTAATATTAGAATATTTCAATATTTTACAAATATTCTATAATATACATAAAACATTATAATATATATATATATATACACACACACACACACACACACACACATATAAATGTATATGTATATAGAGAGGGGGACACCTTTCACTGTCCCAAAAATGTATTTATTTTGGGGAAAAACCTTAACCTGCTTCCAGTTGAATCAGTTGGATAGAGTTGGATGAGACCACAAGGGCCATCCATTCCAACCCCTTGAATACAATACATTTCTTTAAAAAACTGCATAGCTAAGCCTGCCTCTATTCAAGACAACCAACATCATGTATTTTTCTAGAGAAACCTTAACCTGCATAGATTTGAAAGGCAAAATAATTTAGTTATTTGGGGGAAAACCTTAACCTCCCTCCAACTAAAGACAAGACATTGTTCTTTTTAAAGAACTAGACATCTTAAAACTGCCTCTACTTGAAAACAACCAATACAATGAAGTTGTTTTGAAAGGAAACCTTCACCTGACCCAACTTTATCCATATTTAAATGAACACCTTAATCTGGAAGACAACCAATGCAATCTGAATTATTTTGGGGGAAACTTTAACCTTCCTCCACTTGAAGGCAATGCATTCATTGTCCTAACCTGCCTCCAACCAAAGTCATTTAGCAATTTGCGAGGAAACCTTAACCAGTTGAAGAGCCAGCTAGACAAATGCAGAACTGCCATGAAGATCAGGATAAAAGAATTCAGGTTGGAGGAGCAGAAGGATGTGCAAAAGAGAGGTCCATTGGCTCTCCCCCTTCCTTCCTTCCTTCCTTCCTTCCTTCCTTCCTTCCTTCCTTCCTTCCTTCCTTCCTTCCTTTCCCTGACTTCGGTCTGTGGCACTCACCGACTCCGTATTTCTCGTGCTCTGTAGGAATCCACATGCTCAGTGTTCCCCCTTGTTTTGTTTGGTTTGTTTGGTTTCTTTTCCCAAATAGTGACAGTAGCAGCTCCTCTCTGCTTCCGAAGCCAACGAGGCTGCTTTGCAAAATCCAAGAGTAGGAAGACACAGCGCAGCGGCTGATGCAGCGGAGCTTGCTTGCTTGGCTTGCTGCTGCCTCCGTGGCGCGCGCTCTTCTTCAGCCCCGCTCCTCGTCGCGCGCCGGCCGCGGCGGAGAAGGCATTGTTCGGATTGACGAAGCCCGGCTCGCGCGCTGGGACTGCCAGCCAAGACAGCCCCGCCCACTTCGCTCCTCCTGATCCTCCCCCTCCCTCCCTTCCCTTCCCCTAATGCACGACGGGAAGTGTAGTCTTTATTTTGTTGTACTCTCCGAGAAAGATAGCCACGCCCCCTTCCTTGCCGCGGTCTCTGGTCAGACAAAAGAGGGCCCGCTCCAACTCTCCCGACATGCTTTGCTTTCTCGGAGTGGGCGTGGCACGAAGGGAAGGAGTGGGCGGGGCCCCGTCGCTCCCCATTGGTCCAAGGTGTGGGAATGGAAGCCTGGCGGCATGGCCGCTGCGACGAGAGAAGGAGGAGGCGGGAAGGGTGAGTGGAGCAGGCTTCCCCTCTCACCACCAGGCCAGGGAGGGCTTTACATTGCTCATTCTTCTCTTCCGGGATTTCCTTTTCCTCTTCCACAGCAAGGGGTTTCAAACTGCGTTAATTCTACAGTGTAGATCATAGGTAAAAGGTAAAGGTTTTCCCCAGACAGTCGTGTCCGACCCTAGGGGTTGCTGCTCATCTCCATTTCTAAGCCGAGGAGCCGGTGTTGTCCGTAGACACCTCGAAGGTCACGTGGCCGGCATGACTGCACCAAACGCTGTTAAGAGCTGCCATGCAGGAGAAGCACAGTCAAAGCACCCCTGACAGATGGTCATCCAACCTCTGTTTAAAAGTTTCCAAGGAAAGAGCTTCCAGCACACTCTGAGGCAGAGAGTGTGCTGGACAGCTGTGACAATCAGAAAGTTGGGTATAAGGTTGGGTTTTTGTTTTTGTTTTTTTGTATAAGTAGTTTGTATTGTTGATTAACAACTGGGAAATAGAGGGAGAAAACGTGGAGGCTGTGACAGACTTTGTATTTCTAGGTGAAAAGATTACTGCAGATGCAGACTGCAGCCAGGAGATCAGGAGACGCTTATTTCTTGGGAGGAGAGCAGTGTCCAATCTCGATAAAATAGTGAAGAGTAGAGACATCACACTGGCAACAAGGATCCGCATAGTAAAAGCAATGGTTTTCCCCATAGTCACCTACGGATATGAGAGCTGGACCTTAGGGAAGGCTGAGCAAAGGAAGATAGATGCTTTTGAACTGTGGTGTTGGAGGAAAGTTCTGAGAGTGCCTTGGACTGCGAGAAGATCCAACCAGTCCATACTTCAGGAAATAAAGCCCAACTGCTCATTGGAGGGAAGGATAGTAGAGGCCAAGATGAAGTACTTTGTCCACATCAGGAAAAGAAAGGAAAGCTTAGAGAAGACAATGAAAATGGAAGGAAAAAGGAAGAGGGGCCGACCAAGAGCGAGATGGATGGATGGGATCCTTGAAGTGACTAGATTGACCTTGAAGGAGCTGGGGGTGGCGACAGCCAACAGGGAGCTCTGGAGTGGGAAAGAGTTGGAAACGACTGAACGAATTAACAACAACAATTTGTATTATAATAAATACATACTACAAACACATTTGCTAACAGTTACAATCAAATGAGACATACTTAGTTTTGCAATATTTACAATGTTTGCAACATTTACATTTTCTAAATCATTACAGTTACAAAACCAGTTGGGATGTTTACAGTTTTTCTTTCTCTTTGGTTTCAATTACAAATACAGATATAGTTACAAACACAATAGGAAATTCCTATCTATATAAATAAAAATGTAATGTTCATTTGTGGGATTAACATAACTCAAAAAACCATTGGACGAATTGACACCAAGTTTGGACACAATACACCTATCAGGCCAACAAGTGACCATCACTCGTAAAAATACTGAAAAAACAGCAGAAGAGACTTAAAAAGCCAAAAAATATAAAAAATACATTACAACGCATGCACAAAACCACATATATACACTTACTGACTTAGGCGATCCCTCATTGTCCGAGTAGGATGATCCTCCAGGGTTGGTGTGCAGTGTACAGTGGGCCCGTAGGTGACTGTGGAGCCCTATTCTTAATCTGCATCTTCTACAATTTTATTTTGTATTCTATCTATCTATCTATCTATGACTCCATGCAGTCATGCCGACCACATGACCTTGGAGATGTCTTGGAGAGTCGGACACAACTGGACTTAATGTCAGGGGTAAACCTTTACCTTTACTATCTATATAAAACCTACAACCCTTCGGGTGATCCCAGGTGTGGTCTCTGCCAGCCAGGGACAGAACTTTTTCCATTGGTTAGAGAGCATCCTGCTTTGTTCTGTATTACAATCAGGAAGTTGAGTTGCTGTCTGGTCATGTTCCAGAAGCATTCTCTCCTGACGTTTCACCCACATCTATGGCAACCATTCTCAGAGGTTGTGAGGTCTGTTGGAAACCACAACAAGTTGGGTTTATATATCTATGGAATGCCCAGGGTGGGAGAAAGAACTCTTGTCTGTTGGAGGCAAGTGTTTATGTTGCAATTGGCCACCTTGAGTCACATGTAATGGCTTTACAGCTTCAAACCCTGGCTGCTTCCTGCCTAGGGGAATATTTTGTTGAGAGGTGTTACCTGACCTGATTGATTCTTGTCTGGAATTCCCCAGTTTTTTGAGTCTTGCTCTTTATTTACTGTTCCAATTTATAGGGTTTTTAAAATACTTGTAACCAGGTTTTGTTCATTTTCATGGTTTCCTCCTTTCTGTTGAAATTGTCCACATGCTTGTGGATTTCAATGGCTTCTCTGTGTAGCCTGAAATGGTGGTTGTTAGAGTGGTCCAGCATTTCTGTGTTCTCAAATAATATGCTGTGTCCTGGATGGTTCATCAGGTATTCTGCTATGGCTGACCTCTGGTTGAAGTAATCTGCAGTGCCTTTCATGTTCCTTGATTTGTGTTTGGGCAATGCTACATTTGGTGGTCCTTATGTAGACTTGTCCACAGCTGCATTTATTTCGTGTATTTCTACCCCGCCCTTCTCAACCCCCGAGGGGGGACTCAGGGCAGCTTACAAAAAGGCACAATTCGATGCCTACACAATAATACAAAAAACGTATAAAAACAGCAGTTAAACAGTTATAACAATTAAAACAATCAATATATATCACAATCAATAAAACAATCTCATGCTCAGCGTTCGCCAACTCAGAATCCATACTTCATTCCACATTGTCTATTCCTATCCGTCGTAGTAGTCCTTTATTTATCTGCCAGATTGCCCAAACGCCTGGTCCCAAATCCATGTTTTTAACTTCCTTCTAAAGGAAAGGAGGGATGTCACTGATCTAATTTCCCCGGGGAGTGAATTCCATAGGTGAGGGGCTACCACTGAGAAGGCCCTGCTCCTCGTCCCCGCCAATCTCACTTGCGATAGAGGCGGGGCCGAGAGCAGGGCCTCCCCAGAGATCTTAAACTCCGAGGTGGGACGTAGAGGGAGATCCGTTCGGACAGATATGGTATACAGTATGGTATACTGTATGGTATACTGCGTTGTATACTGCGTTGTATACAGTAGACTCCTGCAGAGGTGAGAGGATCCCTCCTGTCCTTTGCTGAACGTAGCATGTGTTGGATTTTCTTACTGGGTCTGTAGATAGTTTGTATGTTGTGTTGCTTCATCAGCTTCCCTATGTGGTCAGTGGTTCCCTTGATGTATGGTAAGATGTATTGACTAATATTCAAGTGGAATCTCCTTTCCTGTAATTGAAACCCATTGCTCTGAGTCCTAGTTTCCAAAGCAGCAGAAAACAAGCCTGCTCCCTCTCCCTTGTGCCATCCTTTCACAGACCTTTGATCAATTTAGTCGTCCTCCTCTGGACACTTTCCACCTTGTCAATATCTCTTTTAATCTGTGGGCCCAGAATTGGACACAGTACTCCAGGTGAGATCTACTCAAAGCAGAATAGAAAGGCATCATGAGCAGGGTTGTTGGTGGTATGGTGACTACACTGACCATTTAATGCAGATGGACAGTAGATTTATATCATTTAGTTTAATGCAGTTAAATGAGTCTGCACACTGACCATATAATGTAGCTTGATCTGTATTAAAGTGTAGATGGGGCCTTGGAGATGTATGCATTTTATACATACTGGCAGTACATTTGTTTTTAAGTTTAATTTGTATGTACGTCAGAACGGAGACCCCAGCGTAACTCCAGCCATAATATATAAGTTTTGGATAGCATAGGGAAGGGTTAACACTCATGTGGGGTTTGTTTTGCTGTCTGTGCCCCTGTTCTCACCTCACTTTCTGTCCCAGTGATTATTGGATTTTGAAAGATTTGGCTTGTTGTGGAAACAAGGAATGGAGATAAAGCTTCAGTGGAAACACCGTTTCCCCATGATAACTCTTTCAAGAGTGAATTTTCCTTCAGAGGGATCAATTTCTCTCACTTCCTGTTGTCTCACCCCCATTCTTAACCATTAGTCATATGTAAGTTAGATTTTTGTAACTCGGGGACTATTTTTTGGTTGTGTCAGGAGTGACTTGAGAGACTGCAAGTCGCTTCTTGTGTGAGAAAATTAGCTGTCTGCAAGGACGTTGCCCAGGGGACACCCGGATGTTTTGATGTTTTATCATCCTTGTGGGAGGCTTATCTCATGTCCCTGCATGAGGAGCTAGAGCTGACAGAGGGAGCTCATCTGTGCTCTCCCCGGATTCGAACCTGCGACCTGTCGGTCTTCAGTCCTGCTGGTACAGGGGTTTAACCCACTGCGCCATTGAGGGCTCTAGAAAATCCTCCATATATGCATGTTTATAATAGCGGTTGTGGAAAAGATAGAGTAAAGCAAAGTGTAAATATTCATTTAGATACAAAATAGCCTTGTGTTGTTATTCTAGCTATTCAGTTCATTGAGACAGATATGTTGCCATCATGATCTACTTGAGCATCTGGTTAGCAATTCGCTACTGAGGTAAACAGGATGCTGAACTAGATAGGTCTGGTCCATCTGAGCTCCTCTTATGTTCTCAACCAACAGAAAACAAGTGGTCGTTATGCCAGTGGGACTTCTAATGAGGAAAGAACCAGAGCCAGAATGATGAATTATAGATAATATTGACCTTAGCTTTTATTCAGCTTCTAACTGCCAATGAATGATCCATCCTCTGAAATCATTGAATATACATTATAGTTTGGTGGAGCACTACAGCTTTTTGACTGGCAATTATAAATATTCCTCGCTAAAACTTACAAGTACCAGGATTCTATGGGATGTTGCCACGACACTTGAGATGGATGCATAGTGCTATAGTTGTGAAGCGTTAAAGGACCCCTGGAACAATTTGATTCAGCCCCTGTTCAGCCGTGCTAGTATTGAAGAAGTATTTTTTTCTTTCTAAACTTAGTCTACCTGGGAATTGATGTGGTGGCTAAGAGTATAAGATGTTAACCAGGAGATT